GTCCAAACGCTGTTTATCAATATAAATTATGATAAAGAGATCAACATAATATCATGAGGTTGATGACTCACCATCCATTTGCACATAAAAGGTGAATGGAATGCAGAGGAGTAAATACATGGCCTCACAAAGGCTTCAAATATTGCAATGACATTGCAATAAAATTGCAACGTCATTCATATTTGAAGTCTTTCTTTCAATAAAGGTAGACATATAATACACCAGACAAGAAGGAAATCATCCATATGATTCACTTTAAGAACACAAATCTCTCTAGCAGTGATTAAGATACCCGTGCTTAACATCGAAATGTTGAGAACGGGCAAAACAATCACTGTTGAAATTTCGCTCAGAGGACCTTAAACGGTCGATGATGTCGGTGGACAACTTTTGGTTGGATGCATATACGCACTTATATAAGTGTTTATGCCGATACATATTACTTGGGCTACTCGAATCCCCATATATATGCTATATGACACTTTTACTCTGAGTTGTGCAAATGAACCAGCCGTATTTGGAAACCTCAATATATTTTCACGCTCTGATATAAGGCTCGCAATGAACGCAATTCTGTGTTTGGACCATAGTGGACCATACAGCACAACTGATTGACGTAGAATTACTACCGACTGGCCACCATTTTGAGTACGCAACCGACTGTACGGGAAAGCATGGTAAACTGCCGCTGCAGAATTTATGAAGGTAAAATTGCTCATTTACCCCCAGGATTGCTGTTTACGTTTACATTTACGTGTTACGTTGCGTTTACACGCAAAAAAACGTAAATTTGCAAAAGGGTCTCTTTTTTACAGATGTATTCACGTTCTTATGGACTGCAGGCTACGCGATGCAAGTCGCGTACATTGGTCAATCCTCCGTCCCCTCGAGCATACAAAACATAGCGTCCACCTCGCCCTCGGCAATGGCAATAACGTCGTAGAACGAAATTTCGTTTTCTGCCCACTCCAACGCGTCTGCCTCCCACTCCCTGGACCCCTTAAACCTGTATGCACTGTCTTTATGGGCAGGGATATGTATTTACATTTTATTCATGTATTTTTACGCAAATTAACGCGTAAAACATGAAAACTTTTTTTTCGCATAAAATGTAAATACGATCAGGCCTTATTGAGTAAATAACAAGCATGTTCACACTTCTCAGATATGGTTATTCTCCTAAGGAAATCTTATGCCACTGGAGCCATTTGTGCTTGTTAGTAATATTCACCCTTCAAGACAAAATGGCAGCACACTGTACTGAAAACCATTGAGTCTTGTACTTTCCCGGAAATACTGTTGACATTTTTTTTGACGATTGTTCCAATCTGAGAAATGTGAATCTCTAATGTATTGTGTGAAACTTCGCAGATTTTGCCGCGCAAGCACAGGAACACTGTGCAGTTCAGAAACAGATGTTTTCAGCAGGGCGTCTTGTGGGTAAGGATCCTTTCAGGGAAGTTATGGAATCTGCCCCAGAGTTTTACAGTAGTTTAGCCAGTTTTATTCCACTCGTTCTTATCTGCAAGGACTTCTGGGATTTTCAAACCTGCAGCCTAGATAATTGGTATTACCGGATGAGCGATGAGGATGGTCGGGGGTGTATTGCTTGAGCTGTGGATTGAGGCTGAAAGATCGAATTTTGTTCCCTGTCTTTGCGTGATCGCCATCTCCTGGGGGCTCGCAAGCAGTCTCCACCTCTGCTGATATCTGCGCAAAAGGAGATCTGTGGCATATGCTGTGCGCTGAATGTGCTTGAGTGGCGACTTGCCATTCGCTGTTCAGTGAAGCGTTGGTTGTTGGCGCCGGTTGCGTGGCCATGGGTGGATTTTCTCGGTGGTATTCTGGATCACTATTTGCATGGGAAGGGTGTCTGGGAACGTGGAGGGCACGAAAGTGCATGCAAGGGCTGTGTGATGAACCCTCAACGTTATGGGTTGGGCGGGTTTTACATCAGTGCTTGCCAAGGGAGAAGAAGTGTTATTGCGTTTGGCAGCGCCGCCCGTGATGGACCTTCAATTAGGACGAAGATGTATGAGCGACACGTGTGTGGGGTGCGCGACAATTCTGCCTATGGCGACTCATGGAGGGCGTAATCTTGTTCATTGGTGGACGACCAAATTGTCATGGACCATCGGTAAGCCCTTCCCAATCATTGGAGCCACTGTTTTGGGGCACTCGCTTCAAGCTGCTCGACAACCATCAATGACGATTTATAAACTTCGATTATTGAGGGTCATTTTCTTACAATATCCAAATACACTCACATACGGCTTTGATGGTGTTCGCCTGATTCTTGTACATTAAGTGAGAGCAATATTGCTCTAGAGCAAATTAATTAATTTGACGGCTATTATACCGAGGGGGGCTGAAGAACAGTGTAAAGAAGCCTGCGAATCCACTTGCATTCAATACTTAGAAAGCAATATTTAGCACTATTGGCGATATCATCGCCCGCTGCGAGGATGTGGCGACGCTGGGGGTATCAATGAGGGGGAGCACTGCAATCGTCCATTCTCATGCACAAATATGCTTTGACATTACTTCATGCGTACGTAAAACGCCAACCTTTGTTGACGGTTGGGAGCTGAGGAGCCTCGTATCGCTGCCCTCCATCCCACTGGTGGAAAGCAACAAACTTGTTTCGCCAAGCATTGGCCGATATGGGAAGCACACATTTTCGGAGTGTTCAGGTCGCCATATAATGGGACTCATCAGGAAACTAGCATCTTAATGATACTGCTGAGCTGGCGACCCGTGAGTTCCGGGAGTGGGGAAAGGGAGTGTCGACAGCCTCAGCACCTACATAGCCTGACCATCATTCAACAGCTTGGTGCATAGTGACGCGTGGCGGCCCGAAAATGATGAACCAGGGGTGCATACATTCAGGAAGTTAGTTTTGTGAAGGCTGATCTAAAAGTGGATTTCAAAGCATCAATCGGCTGAAAGTCAATTCTGCAACATTGTGTCATCCCTATTTCATTGAGAGATGTCTTCAAGAGGTGTTTGCATAAGAAATTGCGTCAATAGATGTTTTGGCCACGATATAGCCAACCTGTGTACTTTATGAACGGAACCCCCGTTCATGATGGGGGTGACTGCCCCCGGATCTGTGGTCTCCACGCCCAGGTGCCCGCTTTGCCGCGGAGCACGATGAGATGGAGCCAGCCGAGAAAGTGTGGAGGCGCCACGTGGCTGTGTGATGGGAATATGACCCGCGGGGCATTTTGTGGCTTTGACCGAGTGACGTGGCGTGTACCGGGTTGAATTGCGGTGATGCTATGGTGTGACAGGAAGAGTCCGACAAATCAAAAGATACTTTCCCACAAAAGGGGTATTGTGGGAAATATCCGACACCCTGGGCGGATGTGAGTAGGGAGGGCGCGAGGAATGTCGCAGGGGACAATGCATTGTTGAATTCAGCACGACAGTTATAACAACGACTGCGTATGGCTTCTCTGTGTGTTGCGAGGCGGTTTAGGCATGCGGCCTGGCTGCCTGATTCCCCTGGCTGTGAGCGCAATGCGCGTCATGGCCTGAGCGCAATAGCGCTCGACGTTTTTCGAAGGTCGCGGCCACTCTGGGCCGTTCCCCTCGCCACCCAAGACCAAAACTTCCGCGGCGATCTTGCTGTCGGCCAATATTGACCAGAAATCGTCGCTGCACAGCCTTGCCAGAGCGGAACGAAGCCCTCCTGCATCACATACGCAGCTGCGTCGTGGATGAGGCTGATCTGACCTGTGTGTATGACTAGTGTCTTCGCCTACCTTTGAGGAGCTGCAGCGATTGGTTGTGGAGCTCTGGACGGCAGTTGCAAGCATTCTACAAAGATATTTGCGTGCGTTGGCCGGCGTTTGGTCATCTTTGAGACGTCCTTCCGCTGCCATTGCTATTTTGGTGGCGATCGCCATTGTAACAAGTGGCGTTTTGCGAGGAGCCAGTTTGTGCAGGGGGGATATTCTTGATCGTTCAGTGCACTCTCAAACCAAGTGGAGCTGAGGCTGTCGACGTGGGCCAGCTGCCCATGAGTATGGGAGAGGTTTATGCGTGTTTCCCGTGGCGACCATCGACGTGTGGGATGGTCGTTGCGTCATTAATGGGGGTTGGATGTTGCGACCATGGATATGTGACCGTCTACTGCTGTTTTGTACCGTTGGAGGGTCCCCATGCATTATCAGGCGGAGACCTTACATCGATCTAATTCCTCTGCATGCTGCCGAGCGGCATTGGCATCATGACCAGTGTACCAGAACAGGAGGTTGGGCAAGGTGTCGAATATTTTTTTGTTACCATTTGCGGTTTGTGTGCACTACCTGTACACACATCGCATTCAATAATGCATTTAGCGCAGCACTGCTGACAAGCTGACGGTGCTGCGAACGCCGCGCAACTGCTGGTGTGCCTGCCACAATGGCAACGATCCCAACGAACAACGACCTGCGCCAGGTTTTTCTGCTTAGTTGCGAGGCGCGTGTGCACAGTTTAATAAACTGCGAGGCGCGGGGCCCTCGCGCACGCGTCCGTCGTCCACCTTTGGGGACGGACACCGGGCGCGCCAGGTCGTCCCCAGCCATGGACACGCCTTGCGGGGAGCCCCCCGCCACTCCCCCCAGCTCGAAGCATTCACGCAGCAGACGCAAGCCCCCCTTGACCAAACCCCCCCCGGCCCCTGGCTCTGGGCATTCACGCGACCGACGCAGAGGCCCACGCTGACAGATGGGCCCCCGTCGCCCCCCCTCCCCATCACGCTGATCTCCCTCTTTCCCGGATCAGCGAGCGTCGACGAAAGCCCTGACTGTCCAGAACAGGACACACTGGCGGCAACGCACCCACAGCGAGACCGACCAGCTCCGGTCTGTCCGACATGGGCGGCCCGTATCCGATACGACGGCCCAGGGGCCTTGACTGCGCACCCCCCTGGCAGCGCCCCCCTGTTGGGCCCCTTCCTCCCCCACACCCCCCTGCGGGCCGGAGGCCAGGCGCGCGACGGCGAGCGGGGCATGGCGGACGACGGCCAGGCGCTGCGCGGCCGTAGGGAGTCCATCGACGTCCTCAGGCATCAGCTGCACAACCCGGACGCCCACCAGCACCGATCCCGCCTTTTTCTGGCATCGGCGCTGGGAGACTCCGTGAATGCCGAGGCGCTCGTGGCGGCGGGGTGCGACGTTGCCGAGGCAGACGACCGCGGGCTGACACCACTGCACGGCGCGGCCGTTGGCGGCTTCCTGGACGTCGCCGAGCTGCTCGTGCGGGCGGGATCGCCGCTGGACGCCCCCGACCACCGGGGCCGCACCGCGCTGCACTACGCCGCAGTTTACGGCCACGAGGCAGTGATCCGGTGCTTGGGGCGGGCGGGCGCGGCGCTGGACGTGCGGGACGCGCGGCGGGAGACCCCCCTGTGGGGCGCGGCGTCGCGCGGCCGGGCGGCGGCTGTGCGGTGCCTGGCGGGGCTTGGAGCTGACATTAACGCGAGGGATAAGCGGGACCAGGGGCCCCTGTTCGTGGCCGCCGCGCACGGGCACGTGGCGACGGTCACGATTCTGTTGGGCCTTTCCGCTGAAATTGAGGACAGGAACAGCTTTGGGATGACGGCGCTTCACGCTGCAGTGCTGAGGGACCACGTGGAGGTGGCGGAGGCCCTGGTGGCGGGCGGGGCCCAGACCGAGGCGGCGGACGTCAAGGGGCGGACCGCGCTGTGCGCGGCAGCCGCGGCGGGGTCCGCGGCGGCGATGCGGGTGCTGATCCGGGCCGGCGCAGCGCTTGGGGCGGCGGACGACTGTGGCGTGACGCCGCTGCACATTGCGGCGATGAACGGCCACGCAGAGGCGGTGCGGCTGCTAGTGGGGGCGGGTGCGGACGCGGAGGCGGAGGACGGGAACGGCTGCACGCCGGTGGTGGTGGCTGTGGCGCTCGGGCACTCGGACATCGTCAAGTTCCTGATGGGGAAGGCGGTGTGCTGACGACCGTGGGCCCGGGCTGGAAGAGCCCGCGCGGGGGGGTCGGGAGCGTCTCCCCGGAGCGCGGAAGGCGCACGAGGGGGGACGGGGCGTGGGCGTTTGGGGTTGGGGATCGCTGTCGGGATAGAGGGCTGTGTCGCGTGTCCTTCGAGGCGGCCGACGGTGTGGGGGGGAGGCCCGAGAATTGAGAGCTGCACTGACGGCCGAAAAGAGAGGGAAACAGGTCATCCAAAGGGCACCCCCTCCTGGGAAGTGTGTGCGAAACTCTTTTCAATGCTGTTAAAAGATGATACAGAGCCTCCGATGCAAAACCTGCATGGGGGGTCTGGACCGCGGGAAGTGCTTTTGTACCAAGTTTATTTGTTGTGACTGGGGATTGGGAGGTCGAGCGCACTGTGGGCGTTGCTCCATTTTGGCGGCTCAAGTGCTTGGTGAGCGGAATGCACCAACGTGTGGTGGCGGAGAGGCGTTTGGCAAGGCTTGGCATAAGGCCCACGGAGCTTGAATTCAAACCCGCCCCTCTGCACCGCTTCCTCCCCATTTTTGCCAACCCTTGCTGGTTTGGGGAGAGTTGCTTCAGTGCTCAAGTGCTTCACACCATCAATAACTCGAACTCACTTGAACTGGTCAGTAGAATGGATGTAGTTATTGAGCGTCCTGTCGACGGCGTCTACAAAGCTGGATGAGCGTTTCCCCAAACTGCACCAACCAATGCTCGGCATGAGGGACACACTGTGTGCGTGTGTCAAGATGCAGATGTATCGATGGCGTCAGTGGGTTGTTTGGGTGGATTGGGGCCTTCCTACCTGACGTTTATGCTTGTGTGTTACACACCAGATTCAAGGACCATGCATTGCCCCATGAACGAAGGGAGAACGAGAACAGCGCTTTATGGGACCAGAGCCAACAAACGCAGGCACCTGACAATCCCAGGTTGGATTCTCAGCAGAACCTAACCTGCACTGGCAGTAACCATGTGCAGATAATCTTCATCGATCAGGTGCTTCAACGCTCAAGATCGGAGTCCTGGAATGTGTTCAAGTTGGACTATTCTGTTCAGCTGGCATATATGGAGATGACGTATGATAAATGTTTGCAATTGCCAATGCAATGCTCAGTTGCACAAATAATGTGCTCTGATGCCCAAACAATGCGCTTCAAATAGAGAATGTGCATACAGATGCCACCCAAGCCAAAAAGGGGGGTTGTCGACGTTCTTTCCGTCTTCCTGCAGTCCCAGTTGGTCCCTCTTGACCTCGTTTAAGGGTTCGTGGGAGGAAACGCGCCATCCGAGTCCCAAAGACGCAGCTGAATGCCGCACTTAGGCAGCAACAGTTCGCAAATGTTTAGTTCACTGCGAATCATGCGTCCGAGTGCTCCATGTCAGGTACATGTTGAAATATGCGACAGCACACATGATGGTCATCAGAAAGATGTGGGATAGACAGCGGTGAAGCATCTCAAATAAAACCAAAAACACTATACACAATGTCTTGGTGAAGACCACCACAGACATTGAACGGTTTGGACGCCTCGAGCGTTGCGGACTAGTACCCGATCCGGTCTGATTTTGAAAGGGCAGAATCAATGCTGCAAGGCTCGAGTAAAAAACTTGAAGGAAAATCACAAGTGACAGAGTTGGTGGATTTTGTACGTACAGTTCCTTATTGCCGTTTGGACGGCAAATGGGGTCAATAGGACATGCATGTGCATCACTTCTACATGCCATTTTTGTGCACATGAGTGGGAAGTTACCACCCCACACAATGTGGTCAATTTCCTCCCAATATAAAAAAAGGTTTGGGATTTCGTGGGACTGTAGGAATGACTCCAATGCTTTGCGCTTGCTGCTGCCTCATGAAGGAAATGAAATTAACTATCCTGTTAATGGGTTTCTGCCAAGGGAGACGACGGATGGGCTGCGCTGGTGATTCAAACGGCGCAGTTTGAACCTAGGGCTTAGTCAACCCCCGTCCCTTGGGATTTCTGGCCACCCTAGTACTGTGGGCCAGTCAAGTACGAAAATGCAAGGTGCCGCCAACATTGGCGCACTCGTTTTGGCGAGCTTGGGCAGGGCTGAGCGGGGGTGGCTATTTAGGCTCCCCCTCGGTCCCCCTCCTTATCTTGTTTCGCACCCAGCCCTCTACACCTAGAGAGTGGTGTTCGGTTTAGTTGTGGGATGGAGAGGCAGTGAAGGGAGTGAAGAACGGGATTAGCGAGTGGACCCATGAGATGAATTACCCGCTGATCAGCCACCCATGAGTGGCGTTAAGTACTAGCAAAGCGAAGGGCAAACTTGGAGGGTGGGGACCTCAGGTATAGTACACTGAATTGTGGTGAAGTTGTATGTGTTTGTCATGGGGGAGTACATGACTGGGTGGGTTCAGAGATGCTGACAAGCGCAAGACAAGCACTTGAAAGATTGTAAATTGTGAGTGCACAGGTAGAGCGTACGCAGTAACTGAAAGGGCAATAATGGACATTCGATAATTGAATTATTGAAAGGCAACAACACGTTCCCAATGAATGTCTTGCTTGTGATGGTCAGAAAAGGCTCGACTGCTGCCACAAGACTCGACAAATCAGCAAAAATGGAGCAATTGCGTCAACAGAGCTTCCGAACAAGGGCCTTCTGGGATAGTACCGCTCTCAGAAGGCCAAAATACTGCCGAAAATTTCACCAGATTTCTAAGAAGTTGGGCTACATCAGCGTTAGTATGGATAGCAGGAGGAGGTGAAAATTGAGGCCAATAATCGAGACCACAGCGACCTAGTACGTGGGTCAAGGGGCGTCTTTATACTCTTTGGACATCGGGTGAGGTTGTTTCATGGACTGGTGGGTTGTAAGCCCTAAAGCTAAGGACCGAGAGTTGCATATCACGCATTCGGCTCACAATGCCCTTTTCGAGTGACATGCCCCGTCCGGGCATGAATACACGCACTTGAGATGCAGCGCTTCCCAACGAATAGACCTACGCAGTGCTGCTTGCGTTGCTCGCGTTTCTTTCAGCATGCTTCTGTACCATTGCCGGTGCATGTTGTATGGCGAAAGGCACGGGAGGCGCATTGCCGCCCATACAGGACACTTCGACGGAAGTCTGACGAAGGATGTGGGTCTTAACATCCAATTTTACTGCTGTGCATATCACATGCACCATGATTGAGTTGATCATGTTAAAGTAGCTGAGCTACAGTTAAGCTAGTGACTTGGTACACCACAAATGCACGATGCTCCAATGAGGCAAGGTGGCAAGTTGCCAATCGCGTCGTGTACCGCACAGAACTAGGGATATCGCTAGAATGATGCCTCAACTGTGCAGTCAGCATGGGGGGCCAGCAGGCGGTCGGCACCCGCCATGTGGGTGTACCACTTGCAACCGAGAACTCGAGTTAGAAGGGAGTCGTCGATTCTTGTGGTTCCTGTCAGTGTGTTTCTCCTCTGACATTGTCAGAATAAGGCACGTTCCAGCTCGGCAAATTTCTGCCTTACCGGTCTCCTGAGCCCACCCCGTCATGTACCCCCATGACAATAATTACAAACCACCATCCAATGTCACATTCCCGAGGTTCCCGTCCGTCAAACTTGCCCATTCGCTTTGCTAGTACTTCAACGCCACTTCAGTGAGTGACTCCCCATGAGTCAGCTCCCTTTCCTGTACTTCACTCCCTCAACTCCCTCTCCATCCCACAACTAACCCGAACTCCACTATCCAGGGCAGGAGGGCTGGGTGCGAAACAAGATAAGGAGGGGGATCGAGGGGCTGCCTAAATAGCCGCCCTCCGCCGCCCCGCCAAAGCCCGCCAAACTCGAGGGCGCCCTCGCCGGCGGCACCTCGGAATACCGTACTCTTGAAGGAAAAGCCGTTGATGTAATTCAAACGGCTCCCTTTGGAGTGCACACGGGAAGTGCGAATCCACGATCGCCGATGCTTCAACGGGTTGGCACACGGCCAGACGCAAGGCCACGCCACACGCAAAACGCCCAGGGCTTACATATTTGTTCACCCTTCTCACAGCGAAGAGCCTTGCCGACGGTGGCAACGACCCCCGCAACCGAACAGTTCGAATTTCCTTGCACCCACAGAACTCTCCTTTTCATATGACAAGGACCATCATCCATCACCAACCAGCCATACGACATTTCAAAGATACCCACTCATCGCCACAATAATTCTTTGAATCCTAAAACACATTTTCTTTTCTTTTTATAGATTCAGAATGCCTTGGATAGAAACCATATTCTTGACGTGCATACAAGTCGCACACCATAATGCATAAGTGATCCACCCAGTGAAACGGTGGTCATTATGCGGTGTTGCGAACAGTACTTTGACTGGCCCACGGTACTAGGGGGTGGCCAAAAATCCCAAGGGACGGGGTTGAGTAAACCCCAGGTTCAAACTGCACCGTTTGAATCGCCGGTGCAGCCCACCCATCGTCGCCCTTGGCAGAAACCCATTAACAGGATAGTTAATTTCATTTCTCGAAACGGGGTCGCGTCTACTGTTTCGAGCCGGTCAGTTCAATCTAATTCGAAAGCAAACCGTCAGTTTCGACAGAAAACCTCCCGCTCATGTCATGCTTTGCCCATCACAAAGGTATGTACAATGAGATGGTATGAAGCGGTCGGGTGAACTCCTGGTGCCAGCGCTGTGACTCGGGCGTGCACTGACTTGGGCACCACACGTTGTTGCATCGACGGAGATTTCGAACAGCCCGTGACGCGGCCATGGGGCCCACGCCAATGTCCTCTGGGTGCCTAGCTGCGTCAAGAGCGGATGGGAAAACGCTCAGCTACCACACCAGGTTGGGGCTGCCGTGAGCTCCTTCAGATGTGGGCATCCTCAGAGAGGCTCGCCGCAAAACAGGCACGAGCCAGCAAAAGGGCACAAGTGGCCACTGCTTACATTGTTCACTCCTGCATTTGATTTCCTAGCTCGACTGTCCCGATGCTTTTATGTCCGACATGCCTAAATTGCACAATACGTGAATACAACGTGCAATAACCAATAAAGCGGCGTAAAATCAATTGAAAGGGAACCGCAGGCTGGAACGTGAAGAAACCTTCAACAAGACCACCAACCCCTGTCGGACAATGCGTGCAACCTGCCATCGCAATTGATTGCCGCATGCAAAGCCTTGTCCACTCCAATGCCCCTGATATTCTCCAGCCAACTCCTGTGCTGCATTCCACGCACACACGACATCCAGCATTGGGAAGGCCACCAGCTTGCGGGGGCTTGCAGGGGCAGGGGTAGGCACAGAACTGGCATCAAACCTTCCATGTATATGGTGCATCAACAATAAAGGTCGTGGCGCACACAACGCAGGCATCTGATGTCCGAATGTTCCCCGTCCACGACCTCTCGGCCATGCCTGCAGGATGTCCCAATTGCCCAGCTGGGTCCAACAATGTGGCAGAAGTCCTCGCCTTGTTCACCATCAATTTGAAGATGCATGTGCAGTGCTTTTTCGTATTTTGAAAGGCCCAGTCAAAAGTACGACTGTTTCTTTGCCTTCCTGCGATTCGCAGCGAGTAGCCCTTGCAGCAGAGGGTCCGGCCATTCAGTGGCGTTTGAGCAACCTCATCCGACTCATTCTACTCTGTCGACTCTGCCGGCGACGGCACATGAGGTTGCAGGCCAGCGCCGCCACCACCGCGGCCATCATCGTGGCCACAGCAATCTTCCACCAAAATTTGGATCCCTTCGCCTGAAGCCAATAACACAGCAGCGTATTCGCACCAATGTGCAGATTATGACAATTTGAGTTTCTAGCGAAGGTAGATGCAGTAGCAACAAGTGGACTTTGCATTTGGGTATGCCAGACACATTGGTTGCCTGTGTTGCTTCTTTGGGTGAGAGGGCAACGTTTGCTGTCTTCAGCCAATCCAGTCCACAAGGAATTTCCTTGCATAATAAAAGTGGCAGCGACTGTGTAGGTGGTGGTACAAACCATCTGCATGCACATCGTAATAATTCATTGCGTTGACAAGTCTATCTGTTGCCAGTAACAAAGCACGTGTCAGGGTTCAGGACAGCAAGAAGCACAAAGCAGCACTTTGAATCAAATGGCGATATGGATATGAACTTCCATTGTGGCGCAGTGGAGTGGGCCAAAAATTGGTCATATAAGAGCTGGTACCAGCACAAGCTCTCGGCACCCAGCTGTGTCCAATGGCTGCTAAGAATGTTGGGGACGCGGAAACTCACACTGTGCACCTTCACCCAAGCCGCTGATCCACAGCGTCGTCACAATCCACAGGCAACAGTGCTGTGGACTGTGTCTGGTATGGGTTGCGACGAGTGCAAGGGGGCAGCGTACCTTCTTGCCAGGGGGATGATAGAGAAATAACCTGGAAACATTGCTGACGTCAACGCGTCCTGGTTTCTCTGAGGTGGTTGCCCTGACCTCAACCATGTGGTCATCCCAACCAGGTATCCTGCCCACAACAATAGCTTTCTTGAATCTGATACTCAGATGTGCACAACACAAGACTGAAAGCTTGAAGTTTTCAACGTTTCGACATTGCAGGAAACCATTTGTGTGCGTGTTTGGCTGTGGCTCTGAGTGCACAACACTGATTTTCAGTATCTTGTGGTGACCCGAGCTTCCGCAAGGCAATTGAAACTGAGCACTTTGCAAAAAAAGATGCATCGTTGGACTCTGGTTCAGAGAGTCCCACCTGAACATGTAGGACACAACCCTTGTTCCTGGGCGTAATTCATCTTCCAGCTTGGGGACCAGAGCTGCCAGGCCTGGGTGACAGCCCACAAAATGCAGTGTTGCCCATTCGCACAAGGTAGCCAAAATACAGTAGCCAACACCAAATCACGATATCAAGAAAATGTAAGTTTCCAATAATTGCCTACAGCGGCCTTGCACAAATGGTCCCATAGCCCCAGGCACTGCATCGTCAGGGGAATGTACAGAGAAGCATCAAAAGCGATATTGAATCGATGTATAGAAAGCTACCCTGAAAGACGATGAAGAAAAATGACGGAATCGTGGACTCAACTTGCCATGTGCTGAAGCCAAATTGCCAATTTAAGAAGCACAGGATGGATGCAATTTAGCATGAGCATGTGTGCTTGCAAGCATGTCTTCACAGATGGTTTGGTGATGGTCAAAGCTCACAAGTCGACTCTGTTCTACCATGGTGAACAGAGCCACGAACACATTCTGGTGGTGATGTGCATGGCATCTCATAGACAGCAACAGCAGAACAGACCTGCTTGCCTTACCCTCAGGCTTCAGGTACAGATACACCACTGTTGCATCATCTAAGCCAGTCTCCATCGCATCCCCATGGATAATGGTGACCCGGCCATTCAGCTTCGCTGTGTACAACAGCAGCTGGTCATAAGCACATCCTGAAGTCGACTACTGTTCCAAATCAAAAGTACAAAACAACTATCGCTGAATCGACACAACCTTGGGCCTCATGGCAGCCAACTGAACACGTTTTCTCTTGTCATCCCTGCTACCCGTTGCAGCACGCCTTTCTTGTTGGAAGCGGAGGCATCATTACACTTTGAAAAGGGGCCTCGCAAATCCTGTCAAGAAGGGAATGTGGATGGTATGACATTATTTCCGCCATTTTCAGACAGTCTTCATGACAGCCACAGGAAATATTTCTTCTATGACCCTGCACTCCACCAGCACTTGTCGATTGCACTTCCTGCTGCAATGCTCACTAGCAGCTGGCCAACAATGGCAGTGATTGCCAGCACATACCTGTGGCTGGCAACGCTCACAGTTGAAATTGGACATTGGATCACTCTTTGAAAGAAACTTAGGTTAGGGCTGCATGCCAGCATTGCCGGGCCACAGCACCCTTCACATTCCATGGTTCAAACTTGGCCAACATGGAGGCACTGTGGCATCCCAAATGCCAGGAAACTGCCTGCCAGGCAACTCGCCAAAATCGAGGCCAATGTCCGCCGCCAGGGATGGATGCGACCAGTTTCTTCTCGCAGGAAAGGGCTGGCTCCAAAAAGGCGACTGGGCTGCAAGCAACCTCGTGGCCAAATGCCATAGTCCGGGCCAATTCTCAGAATGGAAGTCGCAGCACAGGCACCCATGATCCCAAGAAAGGACGCCACCGCTCCAAATCATCCGCGGACGCACCTTGCTGCACCGCGTTGCTCGCCCTGTGCGAGCCCTCCAGCTCCCGCTCCACCCCCACGCCCCGCGCCCCGCGCTTCTGAGCGGCCGCGATGAGCAACCTGCCTGAGCAGCAGCCAGCCGTGACCGCCCCGGCAGCCGGCGCGCGCCCCATGCCCCCGCGCCGATGCGCATGTTCCGCCCCACCCCCAAATAACGCCCCACAGGAGATCGCCTCCAGCGGCGAAAAACGCCCGAAAACACCATCACCCAACGATCCAACAATCGATCGTCAAGCCGCGCGGGCACAAATGGACGCGATCCGCGGCCCCCGGCGACGCAATCGACGAACATGGCGTGATTCGGGAGTGTCAATCCGTGTGATCGCGGCATCGGCGGCGTGCTGGCCGCGGCGCTGGGCTCCGCGCCCCCGTGGCGCCTCACCGTCGTGGCAGCCGAGGTCGTACACCACGTCCTCCGCCGTGACCTGGGCCAGGTCCAGGAACGCAGAGACGGTGTACTGCGCGACAGCGGGCGGCCCGATCAGCCGCAATCAATAATTCAATCGTCGCCGCCGGCCTTGGGCTGATGATTGGCACCAACGCGGTCGTCGGCGAGCTGGCCGCGGCCAGCGGAAAGAAACGGAGGATGGGGGCGCGCACCTCTGGGCTGGGCATCACCGGGCCCAGGCAGTGGCCGCTCGCGCCGTTCTCCATGCCCCGCCTGTAGGGCAGTGCGTCCGCAGCTGCGGGCCCGGGGGTTCAGGTGGGGTGGAGTTGTGCTGGCGTGCCTCGGGCCTGTTAATGTACTCGTCGGGGCAAAAAGCGCCGAGTCGTCCTAGTAGGAGCAGAGTGAGCCAGGGGCCGGTGGAGGAAAAGTAGGGTGAGGGCGAAATAGGCGGGAAACACCACTTGGAGGTACAGGTGGGAAGGTTCGCGATACTTTCGGCGGTCCTTTTTGTGTGAACTTTCGACGGCTTAACATGGGATAGGGGACCAGCTGCTTCCTCTCACAGATTTTGCGTGCATTTTTTCTTATTCTTCTTGTGCTGCGATTGGAAAGATTGGTATTTCTTGAGTTTAGCTGACTAAGTAAGCGGTCGATTAATTGACTGACTGGTTGTTTCGATGATTGACATGAAATTTAGTGGATTTCCTCAAAGAAGTGCAACGTGGACTGCGCCCCCTCCCTGCGACACGGGCCGTGGATTGGGTTGAAGAGTCGTGGCGGGGCGCCATCAGGCTCTTCCCCCCGGCCCGCTTTCCCGCCCGTCGCTGGCCTGACGCCCTGTGGCGATGGAGACCTCTGAGCTGGGCGTCGCGGCGGGGCTCCTGGCGCCCCCCGCCACCCCCACCAGGCGGCCTTCCGCCACCAGTGCCTCAGGTGCGGGACGCCTGGCCGGGAACCCGTGCGTGTGTCCACGCCGCTGGCGGCAATTGCCAAGACGGTGTGACGGACGGCGAGCGCCCTTGGCCGGAAAGGCGACTGGCGAGTCAGCGTCGAACTCGAGTTGGCGCTTTCTGCGGACATGGATAGATCCCCGGCGGGCTCCAGGGTGTGTGCTCCAAGCTGTCCGTGTGGCGTGCCGCTCCCGAGGCACTCGGAGATGTCGGGATCATGTTCTGCGGCGTGCCCCGCAAAGCTTGGCGATCGGAAAGGGAAGCCCATTCTGGTTACCTGTCGCTGCGCGTTGAATGGACAATCTTCTCTGGCGTGCATCTTGCCCGCTGAAGTGACGCGAATCCGCGCGGTATTCCCCAATCGACTGTCCGGCTGCGCTAAAGAGCTCCCCGCGGGGGCGATGCTTGGAACTGGTCGCGTCCGCGCCGGCGGACGTGTCGAATTGCCTGCAGGCGAGGCGCCCGGCTTGATTCTGTGGATGCGCCTCTTGATCCTTTGCACGGGTGCAGCTGGCAGAAGACACACCGCCAAGGTGGGCAGCTCACACGGCAGGCCCCGCGTGGGGCCGTTGCTGAGGCCATCACTGGGCCGGGCGCCGACGGCGAGAGAAGCGACGGAATGGGTGGATGCCGTGACGACAAGGTGGGGAAATGGAGCGCACTGTGTGGGAAGTAATGTTGCAAAAGGAAATGTTTTCTTATGGAGATTGGGATTGAACGGTATCCCAGTGTGAGGAGAGAAGGGCGCGCAAATGGAAAGGCGTTGAGGGCAGCTACCCGTTTGAATTCCTCTCGCCACAGCAGAAAATAGTAACTGGTGGTCAGAAGCACTCAGCACGCGGTTCACAGAGGTGCGTGATCGATGCGAAAGCCGCCGATCCGTGCCCGCTGTGCAGCAGCGCGAGCCTCGCGCATACCTGGCGTTGTCCGGTGTAAGGCACACAGTGCAGCTTACACCAGGGCACCTGCTTCCCCAAGTGCGCGTGTGCCTGAGCATGTGCACGGCAGCAGCAGTTGCGGGACGCGTGATAATGCGCTGGTAGACTGCTGGCTGGAAGTTAGCCGTGGCCCAGAACAGGCTTGCTGCTTCTGGTGATTTTGTCAGTTGAAATCCCACCAAATGATGGGTAATGTCTGTGGACGACACCTTGAACGTTTTGTACTAGTGCCTCGTCAGTGAAAGAACCGGCTCACGTCAGCCAATCTGAACACATCATGCCTAAGCGTCTGCAAAGGACTGGAGAGGGTCCTGTTGGATAGTTAAAGTGCGGGTTTGGTGGCATAGTTGCATGCAGGCCCAAGCTGGGCATGAGCAGTTGGGATATCTGCATGCGGTGCAAGTGCACAGCATGAAGACATGGCACTTTCATAGCTTTGCGACTCCCTGTGATCAGATCAACAACAATAGCATGATCTGCCAGCATGCCCCCTTGCCGCTCATCCTTGCACCCCACCCCACTGTAGCTGTATATAATCTTTTTGCAGCATGGAAAATAGTCTCACATACACTTGCTTAGGGGGGTGCCCTTTGTATGACCTGCTTTCCTTTTTTTGGGGCAAATCATACCCCCACCATCACCACCCCCGCCCCCACCACAACCCCACTCCACTCTAGTCCACTCTACTCCGCCCCATCCCTGCCCCCAAGCCCTAAACCCAGCTCCAAAACCCTGCCCAACCCAAACCCATCCCAGCCACTACCACCACCACCAGAGACCTGAACTTTTCTATTCCATGACTGTGCACTCCTTGGCACAAACTACCTTGCAGAGGAATAGGAAATGAACGGGAGTGAAGAATTGTATCGATGTCCAGTGTGCTGCAGGCACAATTCTTGATCAACTTGTACGCCATGTGGGGGCAGCTGTAGTCAACCTTCAGAAAGTTGCTCCCCTGTGTGAGACGTGCAATGGGTGATATATTCCACACTGCAAATGCAAAGAATGCGTGCTGCACTGCCATGATCTTGGGTGGATATGAGCCCTTTGAGGTTGTGCATGTCCATGCGTTTGTCAGCCACATGCACATTAATGCATTGTGGAAGTTTTGTGCGCACTGTTTCAAACTTTTACACATTCATCACAACCAATAATGCCACTGAGGGAGTATGCCACTGTACCAGGGCTGAAAATGGAAGGGGAGGAGGCGGCTTTGTGACAGGGTTCCTGGTTGGAGGGGTCGTCTGCGGTGTGCTTGGCTTTCTGTATGCACCACAGGCAAGAATGCCGTAGCAGAGCACCTTGATCTATGTGATTCCATTTCATGCTCGAAACTTTCATGAAGTCCCAAACTGAAAAGGAGTTAGTCTACTTCAGCTGCTGCCACTAGAACACCTCTACTGTGAGTCCAAAAGGCAAGCTATCACATTGGGCAATGTCTTCAAGATCACTGTTGTACACGTTTTATAATCCATCATAGACTTCTATTTCCGTTTAGCCTGCTGGTTGAAAAAGTCATCATCTTCACAGTATGGAGACAAGTCTCAAAAGCTGAGCTGGGGGCGATACCCATGATGGCACATGTTTCCCACTGTCTGTTGTGATCATCGCTGTAGTGAAGATGGAATCCAAGACAGTCTGTGTGTGGCTTGCTGCCCATCACCTCAGTGGAGATCATCTTCAACACCAATTCTGTGTGCAATGATCACTTTCTAACATTGTACTGCAGGACTTTTCATGGCCGGGGGGGAGGGGACCTTGTTCAATGCAATGTATTTGCTTGGGAACGATAAGCACTGAAGGGCAGCATTCAAGCGTTTTGCGCAACTCAATTTCCAATTCAGGGCCCCAAGTGGTGACAGTCAGCATGAGCAATATGATTTCTCATTTTTGTCTGAAATGCCAAAAGCTGGCAGGCACATTCCTATGATGCACCCCTGAAGTATGTCTGGTGGTGCCTGCTGGAGGCACATCGGGCAGTGGGATTGCATGTGTAACTATGAAAGTTTTTGGAGAAACATTTGTCTGTCTGTGTGCCCTTTACCACCTCGAAAACTGATGAGCAGCATTCTGTATGATACCTTGGGCAGATCTGTTACCAATTTGGCCAAAGCTGAGCAAAGAACAAGTGCGTAAATTGATCAATTCTTATTGACTTTTCAAACACAAGAGGGCTGCAGGTGCAAAGGGCACACATTCCCTTTTGGTGTTGACCACCTGCTCTTGTGTGTTTCTGACACTGGGATGTTCACCTGTTCCAGATTTCGAGAACCCTACTGGATGAGCAGCAGCGCCTGAAGCTGCCAAAATTTCTGGAAGATAAGCCTCCAGTACCAGTAAGGGTGCCTTGGGCTCATGTGCCTGTTCTGGCTATTTTGGGTCTCATATCCCCTTCCCCTCCAGCAAACCATGATCAAGGTTTGCATCCTGAACCCATTTCAGAACATGATCCTGTGTGGTCACTGGAGCGAGGCTGGGCTTGATGAGTTGTGTAGTGTGTTGGGTTTTGTAAGGCGTAGACTGGGCACCATCACACATAATCTATTGCTCCTGCCCTCCCAAACAGCTCACTTTTCTTGGTTAGGAGGCGTCGTGCTTCCTGCCTATGTTTGGTATGCTCATTCCAAGTTCCACATCTTTGCTGCTCTCTATGGTTGTGCGGCCCTATGGGCATCTGTGGCAGTGGTCCCATGAAGATGTCAGTCGCCTGTGCATAATGATTGTGTGCCCATGCTGCAGCTTTTTTTTCCCAATGGGTTGGTGCAAGCTTAGATGTATTTCAAGGCCGGAGGTCAGGGCCTAGGTGAACAAGGTCATACAGAATAGGTCGTGTATCAGAGCACCACTTTCAATGAAGCTGTAGCGGTTCATTTTCCGCTTCCATTCTTCAGTGCTGTGGGGTCTGCCAGAAACAAGTGTGATGCCAAAAATATGGAGCGTGCATTGTTGTAGTAAGGGTGCACTCTGTGGAGAAACTAATGAACATATCCTTTGCAGAAACGAACAGCCTAAGCTGGAGACCCTTAGTGTGTTGCTGCAACTGGGCTAAGTCAGGTGTTGCAGAGTGCACCCAGCACGCACAAGGCAAGCGCAACACCACTCTGGGATTGTCCTTGGCCCGACTGGCTGCTGATGAAGGGGCGTTCATATGAATTCAGAGGAATATAACAGTGGTTGGTGTGCATGCCATCCCCTTGTAGGTGACCAAGGACGAGCTGGTCCTCCGGGTTGATGAGCTTAACGCCGCTGTCGACCAGCTTGCGCAAAACCTTGGGGACAGAGGCGGCGACGCTGACAACAGCAAGGACCCTCAGGCTACCAAGGTACCAGCCTGATGGACCTAAGGGCATGATGCTTGTAAGGTAGCAAGAGAGTAGGTGTTACCAGAGACTGCCGAGACAGCTGTTGTGATGGGCACTGAGTCTCGGGTTGAATAGGTGCCGTTTGCTGTAGCGGGTGAATGGTGGCAGTTGAGCATTGCAGCTGGGTGGCCTGGGCCACAGTCAAGGTAGCAGAGGCGACGTCCTGCATTGAAGTGAGATTGTGGTTCTGGTGAGCCCTTGAGGCTGATCTGTCCAGACAGCAACGCACAGTTAGGGAGCGCCGTTTTGGACTGCACTAGCAGAACAGCAGTGTTGCTTGGCAGGATATAATGCTGTGCAGTGTGGATAGCATCGCAATTTCTGTGTGTGGGGCAACCAACAAGTGCATGAATGAGTCTGTCACGCGCTGCGCCAGGCAGGGATCATGTAGTGTTGTAGCCGTTGCTTCGCTTCTCTGCGTGTTTGTTTGGGCAATGTTATCTCTCCACATGAGATTCTGCCTTTGTGCTTGGCCAAGGGGAGAAATTGAGCCATGTGCTGTCATTCACCTGGCAATCAAATGCCCAACCACCCACAGGGCTGCTTGTCCCTGGGATTTTTCAGGAAAAATCCGGCCGCCTTCCAAAACTGCAGTGCACTGCTAATGGCTTCTTGACACTTTGTGTAGTTCTCAGAGGCCAGTCTCACATTTATGTAGCCCAGGGGCTTTCGGGACCTCTTGTTCTTGTGGCCTTGGGTAGAACACAGATTGTTTCCTTGAAGGAACGATGATGTGAGGGCGAATCTGCCAAGAACCCACTTCTACTGAAGTCTGCAGACATTACACATAATCCATTTCAGTTTTAGTGTGAGGTTCACTGAGAATAATGCATGGCACACGATTGTGGCTGTGTTTGAGCTGTGTGCAACCGGCAATGAAAAAACATCATCAGCGATGTGTTTGTGCAAGCATAGTATTAGTCGATGGCTGCCTTGGTTGGCTGCCTTGCTCAGCATGTTAACTGCAAGTTTATTACCCTGAGGTTCTGGTTCGCACTCCAGTGATAAAGGGGGTGATGGAATTTGTTGTTGTACTCCGTAAACCGCAGTCAGTCCCTTTGCCCGTTGCAGCATTGTCCGCTGCAGCGAAACTGTTTTGTCGTAGTGCACAGCATCTGCATGAGCTTCAGCAGAACATGGCATTGTGCTGAGAGGAAATAGCCTAGAGTGAATAGCTGTACAAAGGTCCTTTCACACCAAAGCCTGGGCAATTGTGCACTGAACCAAAGAAAACGGACAACATAGTGCTGACGCCGTACATGGATGCCTGTAGCACGTTCTTCTGCTTTCTCATAATAGTCAGCAGCTCGCAATGTTGGTTTGCGTTCACCAAACCCGGTAGGGCGTGTCACCCTCAGGACTGTAAAATGGACCTGGCTTTCTGGATTCCTTGCACAAACGCAACTCAAATAGCTCAGACGCGCGCCGCACTGGTCTGAATGCCCCGCTGCTCCAGATTTCCCGAATGTACGGTAGCGCATGAATTGCAGCGGCTTTACTCATGGGGAATGGGCGAAGGTGGGAATCCTGATATCCATAAGCCGAGGAAGACAGCTTGGGCGCCTGTTCTACTTGCAGCGCCAGCGCTCCGAGCGGGCGTCGCGTCTGGCACCGGCTGTGGCTTCAAGCGACTAGGGCAGGCCGCGCCCTCTATCCTGCCGAAGTCCCAAAACTTAGAGGCTCTTCCGCGTTCGATCCCGCCAACCGATTCGTGCACCGTCGCAACAGCCGGTAATGCGCACGAGCATCATTCCGAAAGCTCAACCGCGCAGCCTCGGACCCTCCGGCGGCGCCAGTCGCCGGCCGCGGAACTCGTCCAGGGCATGCCCACCATTGCCCCCCCCCGCCTCGATAGGATTACGTAATCTCTTGCTGCGGTCATGACCCAAGGGTGGATTCGAATTCGGATTTGAACGAGCCCCGGTTTCGAGTTCAAAATGCAAATCTAATGCCCTGGCCCTGCCCTGTATCTGGCTTGCCCTCCTGTGGGCCTGGGGATGCCTCCCGTTCGAATTTTCGAAAACTTCGCGCAGGGCCGGACCCTGGGCCTTCCGCGGCCGCAGCCCCGGCGCTGGGACGCCGCGCGGGCGAAGACTGCACGCACGGGCCCAACCGATCGCCGACACAATGTCCCGCGCGCTCCATTGCCGATCACGCCCCTTCGAATTGCCACCCCTCGGCAGCGCCCTCGAGGGCCGCGCGGAGAGGCCCCCGCGCGATCGCCCCACTCTGGATCGATCTCGACGCCGTTGCCACAAGCCGCCGGGTCGTGCAACCTCTGGCGGGGCCGGGTCATTGAGTTGCGACGGCCTCGCGGGGAGCAATGCGACCGGATGCCGCGAAGGCCAAACGAAGGGCGCGCGGTTTGCCAGCCGCGATGGGTGGCGCCTGGGACGTCCAGAAATCGGCCCTCCGGAGAGGAAAGCAGCGTCTGGGACGCGTCACGAGCGCACTTGGGACTGGGCATGGCAGCAGGGGTGGGGCGGGTGGGGGAAGTTGTGTTGCGTTGCGCCGTTGGTCTTTTCAATGGTACTTGGTGCTGGGGGAGGGTCTTGAGAAGCCCGCGGAGCAGGCGTCGAGCTGACTGGGAAGGGGCTGTGGGTCGGGAGCCGTGGGTCAGCGGCGTGGACTCGCGTCCGCCGTCGTCGCGGTCAACTTGTCGGCAGCGGGAGCAACGCGCAGGACTGTGGCGAAGGGACCCCAGCGCAGAAGCCCTCTCATGCCTCGGGCTCTTCGCAAGAGCATTGTGCCCGGAGGGCCGCCCATCAGGGCCACCATGGCCAGTCGGGCTGACTATCACAAGCGGAGCGCAACCCAACGAGGAGTGAATCTGCGGAGCGGCGGCTGAAACCACTAGCCCTGGCGATCCCCGTTTGGCAGTTTGTCTGGCGCTTGACGGGGCGCGTGGCGCGAAGCCATTCTGGAGCGGGCGTGGGCGCCCCTGCGCGATGCACAGGCGCACGACAACAGCTCGAACGAGCGGGCGGCCGACAAAGTTCGACAAGGGCAGCGTCTGTCGAGAAGACATGAACTCTCCTGCTTTCTGGTAAAAAACGACCCAGAGATTGCAGGCCAAGAAGCAGGACGACTGGGCGGACGGCCACGTCCTCACGTCGCAGCCCGCACCAACGCGTTGATCGCTTTCGAAAAGACGGTCGTTCCGACACGCCCACCCGGCAAGCTGCAGCCGCCACTCGTTTTCAAACCCCCCGCTGCCGACACACCCGCCCTGCCAATCCATCTTTGCCCACACCCTCGGCACACATCGGCAGCAGCCCAGCGGCGCGACACGCGCGGCGGGACACGGGCGAGCGGCAACAGGGCCAGACTGGAAGCATACAGTGTTTTACATTTGCGGAGGCGCAGGGCTGTTTTCAGAATACACCGTCAGATACACTCGCCGAGTCAGGAGAGCCCGATCCTTCCGCCCCACGCCCATCCCGGTGCCCGACGCGCAACGTGGCTCGCGCCCCATGATATCCGGTCCCCATACTCCCCTCGCGCGGCCTTTCGCCATCCTCCCCCCCCCCGATTCCACACTCTTTTTTCTGCCGCTCGCTCCCTTCTGGTCGTCCATTCTCCACCCGGCGCCGCGCGACACTCCTGCCTCTCCGGTCCTCCCGTGCTGCCCGTCCCACCCCCCAACCCCCAGCACGACAGCCGGCCCCTTCATCTTATTTCGCCGCCCGCCTTCCATCGCCCAGGCGCCGGGGCTGTCGGTGTTGATCGAACACCTCCGGGCGGCAAAAATGGACTGCCGGGGGGCGAGGGCCCCTCGCTCCAGATCGTCCCCGACAAGAAAAGTCACGTAACCGATGTGGCGCGGGCTCACTTCTTTTTTGGCGCGGCCTTCTTGCCGGGCTTCTTCATGGGCGCCTTCTTGGGGGCCACCTTCTTGGGCGCGGCGGCTTTCTTGGGTGCGGCGGCCTTCTTGGGTGCGGCGGCCTTCTTGGCCGCCTTCACCTTGGGCTTGGCGGGCGCCTTGGCCTTGGGCGGCATCGCCTTCTTCACCCCCGCCACCTTGGCCTTCTTGGCCTTCTTGGCCATGGGCTTCTTCGGCTTCTTGGCCACGGCGGGCTTGGCAGATGCCGCCCTCTTCTTCACGGCGGCGGGCTTCTTAGCTTTCGGCTTGGCGGCCTTCACGCCCTCCCCCAGCTTCCAGCTTGCCTTGACCTTCACCAGCTTGCCGCCCGCCGTCATCTTCTTCAGGTGGAACGACAGCCGCTTCTCCCACCCCTCCGGCAGCTTGTACGCGGCGGCCACGTAGTTCTTGATCGCCGGCAGGGAGGACCCCCCCCGCTCCTTGAGGCCCGCGATCGCCTCGTTGATCATCTGGTTGTAGGGCGGGTGGCTGGGAGGGCCGGCCTTCTTGCTCGCCATCTCTGCTCCGCCGCACGTCGCCTGTGCCGCTGCCTTCCGGTCTGGTGGATCTGACCCTGGGCGGTCTCCGCGCGCTCACTACAGCTCTTACGAGTCGCCGGGTTCAGGGCTGGCCGGCGGGGGCGCTGGGACTCTCGGAGTGCTGGCGGGCTGGAAAACAAACTGCCAAAATGCCGCCCAACGCGAATTTATAAGCGCAGCGGGGTTGGAGGGGGCAACAGAGCGGCGCGAAGGGGCGGGTCTTTTTCCCGTGCCGCCACGCAATCGCGCCAGCCGCGGAAAGGGTCCGACGTGGCGTCCACCTGTCGCAGCCTGCCGTCACAATCTTCGGGGTAAAGAAGTGGGAAGCAAGATATGCGCCACCGGCCCCCCGTCCAAGGGGCGGCCGTGGATCCACGTTGGCCGAGAGGGGTCGGACGAACCGCACCAGAATTGGGGGAGAGAAGCGAGGGGCGAGGGGGGCCCAGTTCGCGAAAGGTGGTTGGACGGCGAAAATACAGATGGGGAGGTTCGCGAGACGGGGTGCTCGGCAGGGAGCGTGCGATGAACAGCGCAAGGCGCGGGCGGCGCGAAGAAGCGAGGGGCAAAGGTCCCCCAGTCCGCAAAGGGTGGCTGGCCGGCGAGATTCTGAGTGGAGGGGTTGCCACCGTGTTGCGGCCCCCGGCAAGGAAGGCGCAGGAAGGGGGGGGAGGGGAGGAGGAGGGATCAGTGCCCCCATCGCCTGTTTGGGAGTGTCATGGTCTAACGGCGGCCCCGACGCGCCGCCGCCGATCGCAGCGGCCGTCGCTGTCTCTGGCAAGCTGACCGCCACACACCAACTTCTGTTCCAGCGTGCGAAATGCGAAAATGATGGCGCCGTACTGGACGCACTCGCCGCAAATCCTGCGGAGGCAGTTCCTGCGGGGAGGCAGCTCCTCGATCCTCCTGGAGAGGCGGGGAAGCGACGAATCCTCATTTTGGGGGTAGGCCTCCTGTATGGCAGGCGCCGCGTCCGACAACGAAGCCCCTGCTATCGTGCCGCCTTCGCGCCAGCCTTCCGTTCCCTCGCACGGCGGCGAGGTCCAGAAAACAGAAACAGCCTCTGAGAACTCCAGTCAATGTCGTCCGGAGCTGCCGTTGGGGAGCGCGCTTTCTCGTGGACGGGTCGCCTCGTCCCCCTGCCGCGAAGGCAGCAGCCATGCACAGGTCGATCGCCGCAGCCGTTTGCTCACGCACGGGCGCCGATTTCCCTGCCGCAGGCCCCATCACGTGCGCCTTGCGCGGAGGAGGAACGCGCCCCCTGGCCGCTGTGGAGCCCCGCGGCAACAGAAGCCCTGACCCTGCCCACGCAGCCACAGGAGCCCCGCGGACCCAAGCCCCCAAGACTCAGCACAGAGCAGCAATGTACTGGACATCTGGTGATTCCATGGGGTGGCTCTTCGTGTGGAAACAGGGTGGGCCCCTGTATTTAGCGCGCCTCTCCGGTAATTTGGCCCCGTCCCAAAGCAAGAAAAAATCCAAGATGTTTGGCAGATTTGAGCGCAACGTACAGAAAACACATAATTATATAATGGTCCCACCATACACCGTCGATTTTCTGGCATTGCCTGTTAATCGATCGCCGGGGAAGTGTGCGCGCTGCGAGGGCGCAGCGCAGCCCCCTCCCTTTCCGCCCGGCCAGGCGCCCAGCGCCGACGCCGGCGGCATGTCCAGGTTCACGATGGAGGAGCTGGCTAGCTGCAGGGGCGCGGACGGGGGGCCGCTGCACATCGCCGTCAGGGGCGACGTCTACGACGTGGGATCCGCGAGGGACTTCTACGGCCCGGGTGAGGACCCCACGACGCACAGGACTGGGATGGGGTCAAATGGGTGCAATGGGCGCGCAGCCTGCAATGGGAGACAAGAGGGTGGGGATAGAAGTGGCCGCGCGGTCGATCGTATTTGTGCGCTTGGGGGATGCGCGGGGGATTGGCGCGACGCAGGAAGGATGCGCGTGGGCTGTCGCGGCCCTTTGGTGTGAGCGCGGGGGACGGCGTGGAGGATTCGTGGGCGCGGATCGCGCGCGGAACGCGCCTGGGCGCTGTTTGTTCTACAGGGCGCGCGTGACGGATATGCGCTTGAAGCTGTGTTGGGGAAGGAATCTGTAGGGCCGCGGCGCAGGGGATGCGGCCGACCAGCCAGCAAAGCTGAGCACAACAGGGTTCGCAATCTCCTGCACACTTCACAGGAGCCTGTGCTTCAATCTCAGTAGTGCGAGATTGGGGGCTTTGGATCCATTCATGGCAGAATGGAACAGTCGCCGGCATCCCAGACTGCATATTTGGTTGGGCCGGTCTGCGAGATAAATGCATTTGCGCGGTGAACATTATTAAAAAAAAAGACAACAGGTTAGAATCTGCTCTGGGTTTTCTAGCAAAGATGCGAATACTTCTGTCCCAGTATTTGGGGATGTCAAATTTGGATACTCCAGCCCCAGCATGTCCCCACACTGCCATGGGACATCTGATATTGCTCTGGTACACGGGAGGAAGGTTTACATGGTTAGCTTTCCTTTCGTGCAACACAGCCAAATGTGGACCAAGGCAAGACACTCTGCAGTATGTGGGGACTGGAAAGCTGTGGCCACTCCGCGTCAAGTCAAGCATTCCAGTTTGGGGACTGGTGTGTCAATTACTCAATGTACGTACTCTTTAACGCAGCAGACTGCCCTGTCACGTCCATTTCTTGCTCAGTCAACGTCGCCAACTGGGTGCAAATGCAGTGGGATGCCATGTTTTGGTGAATGGAGCAAATGCATATGGACCCTGAAATTGTGCCGCCACTTTTGTGTAGCCAACAGTTGAGCTGTCTATAGGCATTCCAATGTGGCTTTTGTCTATTTGGTAATGAAGAAGCACAGACTCTGTTCAGCTTTGCCTGCAGAATAGAGGTTGAAGTTGCACTACAGAAATGGAGGAAGCTGGCGTGCAGGGCCCTGCACCGATTGAAGGTCTCAAACAGAAAGCAACAAAAGGACCCAATCTCAAATGGATGCACACTCAAAGCAGCTGTTGTTGGTCATGGTCCTTCCCCTGTATCCATTGCACAGCAAATCATTGCAGCTACTGCAGAGCGTATGCATGTACATGCGCTCTGGCTCCAACAGGCTGCTGTTTGCTTATTTGTGAGCCCTCTGACTACCCATCAACAGAAGTATTCTGTAGTTTTGATATTACTCAGGTAGTTGTGTTCAAAGCAGTGTACCCGCACACCCATGTATGCTGGCTTGGCTTACAATCTAGGCACCTTCTGCACACAGAAGTACACAGAAGTGGAGAACTGGAGAATATTGGGCCTCGGCTGTCAAGAGCTGTATCCACAAACCACCAAATGGATAGTAGCAATGTCTTGTCTGCAATGCTATGGTGCTGCTTTGGTGTCAGACAGAACTGCATGGATACGCAATGGCACACAGGGGGGCATTGGTCATGAACCATTGACTACCTTCACTCCCTGTCGCTATCAGAGCGCACTCTCCCTCTTCTCTTGCCACTTGACACCTCCTGCAGGCTGTGTAGTTGATGCAATAAGTTCTTGAGGCCGCCTAACATGTTCTTCAAGACTACTCATTGGAATGTGTGGTTGAAGGGCAATGATTAGACAAGATGTCAAGGACAGCAATTTCTGTAATGGTTGTTTTTCATTTCAATGCCAACGGAAAGTATGGTCCTGGTCGAGTTGCTTGCATGACAAAGAAACATGGTGGTATATGTTGACCTGATCTGGTGGTGTGTGCTCTGTCGCGATCCATGATTTTGCAAATAGGGAACAATCTTTTGACACGCAGCACAAAACTTATAGAATATAGAATGTTCATTTCGCTATTGAACAAATTGAAAAATGTGATGTTATGAATAGTGAACAACTCATCATTGAAAAGTACTTGAATAAACGAAAGGCAGGTGGAACACGGACCTTTCGTCATCAAATATGGTGCAATCGTCAAATGCCGGTTTGTTCGTGCGTAGATGGGCCATATCATGCCTTTGCCGGCCGCGAGTGTTCAAGGGCTCTCGCCCTCATGAAGGTCGAGGTTAAGGAATGCAACGACAGGCTGGAGGACCTGGATGAGAAGGCCATGAAGGTGCTTGACGACTGGATAAAAAAGTTCAACGCCAAGTACCCCATTGTCGGGCAGGTACGGAACGCAAAACAAAAAGTGCACAAAAAATGTGCATTCTTTTTGCAGCGTGGCCCCAATATTGCCTGCATGGGTTAAAGCTATTGCGACATTAATATGAACTAGGGCAGCCCGGAAACAAACACTGGTGGATGCGAGAAGCTTCCAGCATCGCCTACCGTGTCCTAAAATGCTTTGGAATTGTTGATGTGGATCTGATACGTGCATGGGTGGCGATTTGTCATGTTTGTGTGCGCACGTCACCCCTCCTCCTCTCCCTTCTTGTTGGCAGCTCATGGAAATCGCCAATGCCAGCAGCAATTGTGTCCGCTGTGAAAACACCGTTTGCGAAATTACTTGGCGTGTGTGATTGGAATGCAGGCGCTGGCAAAGTACTGGATGTTAACAAGTTCGCTTGGTATGGAGTCTTGTTTAAATGGATTGTACGGGCAACTGCCAATCGGCTGTCCTAAGGATGGAGCCATTCCACATTGGGCTGCTGCGCAGAACATCGCCTCCATTGTATGTTCTACGAAATCGGCTGTTTGGTGTTGCGAAGTCGCGCAGTCGTAGCTCACCTGCCTGAAGTGTGCTGACCCCTCTCGTTTGGGACACACGTCCGGCTCATTCACAGGTCGTGAAGTGATGGGCCGGTGGAACGCTTGCGGCCAGCCCGCACGCAAAGGCTTAATTCTGGACGAATCCACTCGCCTGCGCAGATCATCAGCTCAACTTCGAAAGAAATGCAGCGATGCTCGCGACAGCCGGGTTTCTCTGGCGGGCATGCTCGTGAGGGGCATGAAGATTTGGAAGTCAATTTGGCGCTCTCGGCGTGCTGGTTGTGATGGGCTGTATTGGTGCATGCATGTCAGGACTAGGACGATAGCGCACCAGACGATGGCGTGCGCTGGCCGGCCATTGAATGTTAGCATCTGCAGCAGTAGTCAGACCCGGGGGCACGCTGTGCTGGTGCATTGTGCAGTGGTGGTGGTCTTTCCTTGTTCCGCTCTGTGGATCACGTCACAGGCGCCACACCGTCGCTTTCTGGGTCGAACATCTTTTAATCAAATCTCCCGTGTCACGCAGTCTTAAGCTGTGCTCACAATAATACTGTTGTGCACTGATGCTGCCTTACGTGCACAGTGTATTGATGGAGTAAGCGTGATATTGTGTAGTAACGTTGGTCAGGTGCAAGCCGTTGGTGGGTGGCTTGCTACTGGTACGCTATTGTAAGCAGTTCAGAAAACAGAATGGAATCCTGTTGGAGCCTTGCTTTCGCGACCACTTTCAGCTAGTGGTTTGGCTCTGTTGGGCGTGTGCCATCTGTGCTTGATGGAGCTCCGTCGGGGTGGCTGAGACTTGGCAGGACAGGGTGCAACGACGGAGGCAGCATGCTGAATTGGTCACGTCGCCCAATCCATGAATGATGTTATCGTGTGAAGTGGTGTGCAGGAGATGAAAAGCGATACGATATGCTGGAGATGAAATGCCCGTGGATGGGTGCTGAAGTCGCGTGATGGAGTGCATACTTCTAAGGGCATGGACGGGATACCATCTCCACGATCTGGCGAGTTGCATGGCCAGCAAGGCGGTGGGTATGTGCTGAGACCAGTCCGCTCTTGGGTAAGAGTGGAAGAAGCGGCCAACAAGGGGGAAAAGGCATGCATGGGACAATGGCACGCTTGCTGAACCTGTCGTGCTGCTTGTGCTCGCAGAAGTAATGCACATTGGGCGTCCACTCCACAACACACTCTTTCCCAGGCTGCGTTGGTCGCTGCGAGCAATACAGCGGAATGAAGCAATATCATCAGTGCAGTAAACATTATGCGCTGATTGACAACATGGTGCAAAAACGCGGTCTTCCTTGGAGGTGGCAGTTGCCAAGATGCGCATAAGAGGGTCAGCCACCCCATTCTTTGCATGTGTGGTGCACAGCACACTCAGCAAACTTGCCGCTGGCTACATTTGCAATGCGTTGAGCCGATGCTACCAGTGAATTGAATCTGGCAGGGTGTTGTTGGGCTTTGCCACATCAACAGCCTGATGGAGGTGTTCAATTCTCCAACGCTTGGACACTCACAGCGCTCAAGATGCAGTCCAGGTATCCCTACTTTTCCCAAGATGAGCCACGATCAAGAGAGCTGTAGGCGATGTCTTTTCCCTTCATAGACACTCCAGCAGCAATCTCTGGGATATTCAGTGTGACAAACCCAGCCAGTGGTCAACAAGGTACAAGTTCCCAGACATGACTGCCATACCCAGGAAGACGGCAGCTGTGGCTGGGCGTCTTCCAGCGTGCTGAAAGGCGAGGGGCATGAGTTCGTGGAAGCTGAGAAAGGCCATGATGCCCCCAACGCCAGCGAGCATGGCCTGGATGAGGTCGGGAGAGAGGTCCACCTGGCAGAGATCCGAAAAGGGGAATATCAGGGGCCACAAGATTCCCTTTCAATGCATCTATTCCACCTTCAATACATCGTGTTACTCTGCTTGATGGCATGCTTAAAACATCCCGCAGTGCTTCAACAGCAGCTTCCAAGACAATGATGGCATAAGCCCATTCACGTGGGTAGGTATCCAGTGGATGTTCATCTGATACAATCAGAGAAAATGAAACCACAGGAGTGTTGACATGGTGCCATCTTGATCAGTCTACCCATCTCCCAATATGGTGTGGGTTGCAACGTGACAAAAGGTTGCTGAATTCCTATGAAGGGCATGCCTCTAGTCACGCAACGTGGCAAACTCAACCATTTCACCAATAGCGTACAAGAATTGACAGTAATTAGTAAAGTTAAATTCTGCCTCCCCAAAGGGTGCATTAACATACGAATACAAGTGTCACCATGCGATGCCCTATCGACCTGTGTATGTACTGTATCCAACATCGTCTACTCATCGTGGGCCAAATTTAACCTCCTTAACTCACAAATGTGAAAGGGAAGACATGAAAGAACATACAACTTTGACAGCAACAGAAAACAACGGCCCCAGTTGGGAGTGAGCAAGCAGTGCAACACCTCACCGGAAAGATCAAGCCCATGACAACCACAGCTAGTGGTTCAGCCATGCCAGAGACCGCAGCATACTTGAATCCTTCCCATCTGCTCTTTGTCGCAAAAAACACTGGAAGTGCCACAGCGATGCCCTCTGGGACGTTGTGGAGAGCGATCGCCACAGCCAGGCTTGCTCCCATGGCCGATGACTTCATAGAGGCAAGGTAGACAGAGACACCCTCAGGGAAGTTGTGCAGGGTGATCCCAAGTGCAGTAATCAGGCCACTGAACAGCACCTCCCGACGCCACTTTTTGGAACCCTTCGAACTGGAGAAAGGCTGGCAGTCAGTGACAGATGCACAGGTTGTTCTGTACCAGGGAGCAGCAAGAGTACAAAAGAACAATGCTTCGCCACACAAACTGCGGGGTGCCTGAACCAGGGCCAAACATACAAAGTTGTTGGGAAGGTGATGCCCACTCTATCATCAGCAGGCAATAAAAGTCATGGCATGCAATGGTTATCACAAACAAGAAAGGACATTCACTGCTTGAAAACCACAATTTCGACCCATCTGTGTGTACCCTTCTGCCAATATCTGATGCGTCGCTCATATGCGCAGGAAGGAGCAATGATGGGCACAGACAATGGAAAAGCTACGACCCCTGAATCTACCCAGCCATGCCCCCCCGCCCAATGCCCCTCCCACACCTGTCGTCCTCTTTAATTATCCCCTCCAATGAGGGCTCAGGAATTGCCACCACTACCAGTGCGAAAAACGCCACGCCAACGTAGAAGCAGAGGTTGGCAGCGCCGAAGCCGATCGCTTCCATGGCCCCAGGCAGCAAGTCCATCACGGAAATTGCGAGCATCAGCCCAGCCGCAACGCCCTGGGCAACCCGAATCCCTGCCGTCAACACGCGACGCAGCTGTGCTCACAACAGCGCTCCATTGACAATTCCCCGCCTCCACCTCCCTGAATGCATGTCGCATTGATCCTTTGTGTCCTGTGCTTTCGTGTTGCACTGGCACACGTGGCGTGGCCTTTCTTGAATGGAACCGAGGCTTGCGAACAAACTTCCTCGAGAATGGGTGCCCATGTGAGATGTTCAATTATGAAATGTTTTCCTTTTCGCAGCTGCTCCATTTTGACACCTCCCTTCCTGCAGGCCCGAGTTCGCGTCGCGCTCTCAACAACAAGCGCCGCTCGCAGAAACACACCAATCCAAAGCGCAACAGAAAGATGAGCGACAGCTCGTGCATCATCGCTTTTCGGACCTCCCAGACACGTGTGGGCCACGTGGGTGCGCCCCAAGACGATTGCGCGGAGCGCGGAGGCAGCAACCTCTCGGGACCGGATCCGATCGCGTGGCCTACCTGAAGGAATCCCAGCCTTTCGAAGCTCATGTCGGGCTGCGCGACGACCATAGCGCCCCCCACAGCGGTGCCCGTCGCCCCCAGGCAGGTGAGCGCCAGCGCCGTCCCCACATTTGCGGCGACCATCTGGCCCGAAGGCTGCGGGGCCGGGAGGCTGGGCGGGCCCTGCCTGTGTCCACGAGTCGGTGGGCCTTGGCGGTGTGCGAGAAGCACGTGCCCAAGAAGCTGTTTTAGCCTGGGCGCAACTTGTTGCTCCAGTAGTAGGGTTGTTGTGCCGTATGTACGGAGAGAGTTGTGCATCCGTACTGCAAGGTTCAGGCGTTCGCGGATAGCCATGAGCAAAAAAAAAAAAAAAAGGGGGGGGGGGCAGTTAATAGGATAACCGTGGGACCAACACGCAAGGTTGTCAAAAGGAATGTAAGTGCGTCAAGAAAGGGGCAGGAACAAAACGGGAGCCCGCCAAAAGGACCAAACCTGCGAATAGGCTCAAAACGCGCGGAATGGTAATCATAAGGTAAACGGTACACGTAACAAAGTGAAAAGGGGCCACTGATCGGCGAAGGAGCCCGACTGAAGGGTACAGACCCCAGAAAGCAAGTGATGTCCTGCGCCAGTCGCCATAGAAAATGGGGCGACGATATCAATCAACGAAAGAACCGGCTTGATCCTCGCCGCCGAGGTAAAGCCGAGCATAGCATGCCGGGTCGCCACTACAGCTCCCAACTGTGGCAGCACTCGCCTGTAGCCAGCTGCGAGGTGCCCACACGGAGTGGCACGCCGCTGTTGTGCCGTGCGCCTTCCCCGATCGCTCTCCCTTGCCATCATGTTCGTGGGATCGCTGTGGGTGGTGGTGGCGCTGCTCGGAGTCCTCCTCGCCACCGCGTTGGGCCCCCGCCGTTCTGGGCGCCGCCGCGGGCCAGGCCGGGGGCGGCGGCGGGGATCCGCCCCCCCCGCCTCCTGGCCTCGCTCCCCCCGGGCGGATCGCGGCCGCTGGCTGGAGCCATCGTCTGATGAGGACCCGACTGCCGATGCCCCGCCTGACCCGCGGGTCGTCCCTTTCGTCCATTCCATTGGGACGCCCCGCCTTCAATCCATTGCCGTCCGAGTTGATGCTCCCTCGGGAGCTCCTGCGGCACCGATGGGCCCGCCGGCTTCCCCGGCCAGCGGCCGTCCATCCGAGCCTCATCGCTTCCCTACGACATCCGGCCCGGGGGGGCCATCCGAGCCCGCGGGCGCCCACGCCACCCCGGCCACCATCGCCGATGATCCGCCGCCACCCGCGGCCGGCCCCGGCGTTCCTTCGACTTCGCCCCGCCCGCCACCTTCCCAGCGGTCTCAGCGCGGCCCACGGGCTTCTCCAGCCCCCCGTGCAGCTCCACGAGTCCGTCGCCAGCCGGCTTCCGCTCGGCCGCCCAAAAGGGCGCGCGTTTCGGCCCCCGGCGATCCGCCGGCGATCGGCAACGATCTGCGGCACGGAGCCCCCCATCAAGACCTTCCCGGGCCCCCTCCACCGAGCCTTCCGTCAACCAGCGGCCAACAACACCTCCATGCCGCCTTCCCGCCCCACCTTTCGCAGGCGGTGACCGACAAGGTCGCGGATGAGCGCCTACAGGCCAGCGCACTGCGGCGGGACACCCAACTGCGGTTGGCCGAGGCGGGCGCTCGCTTCCCCGTGAACGGAGGGCCACCCTGCGTCAGCCCGGCGTCCCAAGACGCATACGCCCGCCTCCTTTCGGCCGCCGCCTCCGAGGCCTGCGCGGCCATCACTCGCAACCGCGACTGGTGGGCGGCGCGGCCGCATCTCCGCCGGATCAGAGATGACCTCTTCACCAGCGCCGAAGACTCGCCGGACTACGATTGGATCCTCGCCCGCGAGGCCGAGACGCCCGCCGCGAGGCCCCCGCAGGCCCCGGCCGCCCGCCCCGGCCCCGGCAGTCAGCCGGAGGCGAACTACGCCCGGGCGTCTACGTCCGCCTACGATACCTCTGGCGCCCCGTCCTTGCCCCCCTCAGCCCGCTTGGCGGCCGGCCTCCCGGCCGGCCCCTCCGGCACCGTCGCCGATGCGGCCTTGGATTACGCCCGCCTTCGCTCCGATTTGGGGGTGGGGCCTCCTTCATCCACCGCGATCGCCGCGCCGGTGCCCATCTTGGCGGGAAGCGGGGATGCTTCACGGGGGGGGCACCCGGCTCCGCCCCTTGCACCCACCTCCGGCCCTTCCGGCCCCGCCGAGGCGCATGACAGCGCCGGGGGCTTCCCGCCCTCTCACCCGACAACCGCCCCAGCGGGCCCCACCCACGGTCGGCGACCTGGACAGCCGGGGGGCAGCGATGGCGATTGGTGGCAGTCTGGGCCCCGGGGCCCCCCGCCCAGCGGATCCCTCCATCAGATGGGCATGCCGCATTCTGGCCCGATCCCCGCCCATGGCGGCCTTCCGCCCTTCCCTGGGCACAGCCAGGCTCCCAGGCGGCCTGGGGTTTCTGATCCAGGGCCGCAGGGCCACATGGGGTCTACGATCGGCAATTGGGCCGGGCCGCTGCCGGGCCCCTCCGCACCACCTCCCTCGGCACCCCAGGCCGGGTTGGCCGCTCCACAGCCTGTTGCGGGGGATGCGCCTTTGCAGCCAGGCGATTGGATTCGGGACAATGCCCAAGGCTTGTTTGGGGCGCCTGTGGCTGGCCCCCCTGACCCCGTGTCGTGCGCGCTCAAGGGGTTGGCGGAACTGGTGGGGGGGACCAAACTTACCTCCACTCCGTCCGAGCTTGTGGTGGAGGAGCGATACGCAGCCCGGGTCCGTGATTGCGACCAGGCGATTCAAGCAGCCGAAGCAGCGGGACAACTGGAGACAGCGAACCGACTTCACCATAAGAAGGCCAACTTACATGAACAATTCTACGACATCTACAAGCCGCTTCTCACGAAACTACGCTCACCCCATACCGTCCAGAAGTATTTGCAGGAAGTGATGGCCCTCCAGCGGCCGGGGGACACCCAGATGGCGATGACAGCCATCCGCGCATTCATCCATTCGCCCGACCCCGTTCCACCTCCTGGGCCTCCCCCCGCGGGCTCTCCCGGCGGGGTTTGGTGCGTCTGGTGCCAAGCCACTACCCACTCGGCCAACGCCTGCCCGGACGTCCGCAAGCTCTACGCGGCTGCAGCCAAGATTTCTACCCCATCTTCCGGACCCCCTGCCCTACCGTGCTACTACTGCAAGAAGACTGGCCACCTGATTGCTGACTGCCCCATCCTGCGCTCCCGGACTCCGCCCAGTGATGAGCACCCCCCGCCCAGCGGATCCGGGGCTGCGGGGCCCCCACCTTCCTCCGCATAGCGGGGTGGTCCCCCGCCCGCGCCCTATGGGGCGCCCCTGGCTCCTAGCGGCGCGGGCGGAGGGATGGGGGGGGGCAAGGCCCCCCCACACGGGGGTGGGAGGGTATCTTCTTCAGAGGGCCCCACCAAGCATTCTGGGCCGGTCGATCTTCGTCCGGCTGGGGCGTTCCCAGGCCATCTGGTCCAGCCCGGCTGGGGGGGTGGTGCTCTGCCAGGCGGGGCCTTGGCCCGTGTCTTCGCGGATGGGCCCGGCCAGCCCACCACGTCGCGGCCAATTCGGACCCCTACGTCGTCCCACACACACACCGATCAGCTGGACACAAGATCTGCCAGGGCAGATCCACCGGACGATGGCCCCTTCCAACCCCACAGGACGGAGACCCCCCCCGGGCCCCCGTCAGGCGCGACCGCGCTCAATCGACGCACCAAGGCGGACAGCACCCATACCCCCACTGCCGGGCACGCGACAGGGCACCTGGACCAGCCGAGATCGCCGGCTGGATCTGCTCGCGCACACCGACCACACGGTACAGGGTGCAGGCCCAGCCGCGCATCTACACTATCCGATCTATGCATGGACGCTTCACGCGGCAGATCTGCGCGTGGCTCTCACCAGATCACTCCTTCAGCGAGCGGGCCTGCAGGGGGCTGGGTTCAGCCGGTCGGATGGAAGGGCAGCGAAGACGTCGACCAAGCCTCGGGAGACTTCAGCCCAGAAGGCCTGGTGGAATCGCCACGGCCCTTGACGCCTGCGGACAGCCAGCACAGGGAACACCAAGGGAGCTCAGCAACGGCCCGAGATCCACTTGCGGGTGCACCCGCTGCTCCAACGCGTACCATGGCCTCCCCCCGCGGTCTGACACCGCAGCCGGTCCCAACCGACAAGCAGCCCCACCAGCCGGCGGCGATGGCATCCCCATCAGCGGCCCTTGCACGATCAGCCACACAGATGCATCCGCCTCGACCAGCAGACGCTTCCCAAGGGCCAGCGATCGCGGCTGCATTACCTGTGGGAGCCGACACCTCCCAGTCATCACATGGGGAGGCCGATGACGACTACCGCCCTGCGAGCCTTGAGGCAACCACTAGAGGGCCAAGCCCCCGCAGCCCGCCGGCGCCCACACATCGCATGCAGCCCCCAGCCTGCGGCCGATCAGCGCAGGGCACCCCCCGCGCCAACCACGGCTGGGCGGGATTGATGAGGGGGCCACATCGCCAGCCAAGTGGGGCGGAGGCACTGCCATCGACCAAACTGCGAAGGCACACACATGGACGCGAGCAGCCGGCCAGCCGCCCCCCCAGCATACTGTGGACAATACCCGCGGGCCCCGGACTCCTTATGCCATACCTGATCGGACCGCCGCCCCACCGCTGGGCCGTGGGAGGCTCGATGACGACTACCGCTTCTCCGACCCCGCAGCAGCCCGCACACGCAGCCGGTCCGATGGTCCGGTGTCCCGCAGCTCAGCACCACCTGATCCGACACCGCTCTCCCCAGGCAGCAGACCCCAGCGTGGATCCCCACCGCGGCCATTACCCAATGCGGGTCTTGACAGTGGCGGGGCACCCACTGGCGGGCAGGCGGGCAGCGCAGCTGACGCCCACGCTGCAGCGGCGGTCAGCACCGGCTCCAGCGAACTGCATTCCCATCCGGAGGCGATCGCGTCCCCCTCCGGTGCTGCAGTGCAGCTCCCACACCAGCCATGCCCCACCCCGCCAGCGGAGAGCCCCCACGGCTCAGCGATCATGCCTACCTCCAGTGATGATGCCGGCGCCTTCCAGATCTCCCCGTGGAC